ACTCAATTTAGAATTTTTATATATACCTTAATGATCTAACTTATGTGACTTTTCATAATTGAACAAAACTAACACCGTTAGAGGTAATTTTGAGATTTAAAAAACAAGTGAACTTAAGTACCTACATATAAGTTTAAACATAAACTTATCCTCAACTAAGTTTCCTTCCACGATTTAAGTCATTATGTCTGACGATTTATGTTTATGGAGAAGATTAGTGTACTTGTCTAATATTACTGTGTACATGTTTGATGATTTGTGTTTATAAAAAAAAAAAGGTACATTAACTTTTTAGAATAAATGTTTAAATTAGGTGATGGCATTGTCATTATTTTTTACAATTTTAAAGGATCAAACTTTTGTGATAACAAATTATGCAAGAGAATTAAAAAATCATCAACCTTTGGCAGTCCATAAGTAAGTTATAATTGCGTTTTTTTTTTTAATTGTGGCATGCCCAAACAGACATATATTGTATTTCGATATTGCAGTCAGATGTGTTCGAATTAATTTATGCGTATTCCAATTAATTCTCCCTGATTCAGTTAAAGATAAACTATCCACATCAAAACTATTTGTATATTCTCTTTTAACGCTATCTATTTATTTTCTTCGTATCAAACTATTGCGTGAATAATAAATTATACAAATCTAAAAGTATAGTACTTATTAAAACAATGACAAGTTTACGGTATCGCAAAAAAAAAAAATTGGATACCGTGCCATTTTTATTATTGTTGTAGATGTTTTTGCTTTTTATAATTATAGTGGTAATTATTTTTTATTATTTTGTGGTATCAATTTTAAGATCGATCACAAATATTACAAAAGTAATAAAAAATTATTATAACAACAATGATAAAAATATTCATAAAAGTGATAAGTCATCGACACAACTAATAAATTTGTTTTGGTTGTAAAATAACCCAAATAATTATAAAAATATTCATTAAAATAATAAAAGTTAAAAATACAATACCAAATAGAGGTACGATACCCACAATTTTTTTTTTTCGATTAGATAGTGAAATCCGTAAAGCGAAAGACACGACTCACGAGGAAGCCACACCCCCACCCACATCATGAAATTGAAAGGACACCATTTTTAGGGAAAACAAATACTAGGCTCTGAGTTGTTCTGCATTATTGTCAACCCAAAAATAATGTAAACAGTACACGTCAGACTTGTACACTTCATAAACTAAAGACAAATTGATGCTATTTTTAGGCCAGCATTCGCATTTTGATGCTCTATTTCTATTGTTTTCGCATCAAATTAAACTTTATAATATGTACCGACGGCAAAACTACCCTTAAAGTTCTTGTTCATGCGCGACTTAGACCTTCATATAATCGATCCCAATTTATTGAGGTGTATTTCTTTTTTAGTATATTGTGTTTGGAATGTATAGATGGCTCAGACTTATTTTAGTACGTATATATGTCTATATAAAATAAATATCACTAAAGAAAACTCAGATTAAATATGCACGACATAATAATAATTCAAAGTATAAATAACTAAAAAATTGATCAGGAATAAATTGAGTAGTCCTTCACATAATACAAGTATGACACGAACATAATCAACATACCACACATGGCAGAAAAGAAAAAAGAAAAGAGACCTCTGCGTCTTTTATGCAACTTGGATAGTTTGGTTAGGGCCTACAGCCCACTACCCACGTGAAGCCGAGTGTTTTTTTTTGGTCAGAAAGAAAAGAAGATGGTCGATTAGTAGATAGTAATCTCTTTAAGATGTGATCATGAGAATTTTTTATTGTGGAATGTTCTGTTTAAGTCATAATTACTAATTCAGAAAGATAGTCCATTACTATAGCATCACCAAAGCCAAACAGTAAACCGTTTAGTCTCGTGAATAAAACCCTATTTATTAACAATATGAGAGTTAAGAATGACTTTAAACGAGTATGGTTTATCACTAGACCACCGGCTCGGACGGTGAGTTGCTCATGTTGAGTGATATCCAATCTAGTCTTTGTTCCTTTTGCTTATGGGACTACTGAAATAATTTGACATCAATTTTTTTTCCCTTCCTTTTCTGGTAATAAAAACCTCATTAATAACCAAAAAAAAAAAAAGGAATAAAAACTGAAAAATCATATAAAAAAACTCTTTTGTTGAAAAAACAACTAGTCAAAATAATTTTTTTTTTCTAAAAGAAGATTATTGAACTCGGGCAAAGTTGTATCTATAGCTTGAGAGTGTATGTATATGTGTGTTGAGGCGTACATATTGAGAAACTTCTAGGTAAAAATGCACGAAGAATTTGTTGTTAAGTAGTAAAACAATAATAATGTTGCACTGATCAAGATCACGAAAGAGCAATTGTCAAGATTATTTAATAATTTTTTCATCATTAAATAAGTGGATCCCATTAATATTCAACGATAGAGATCATACCACGTTACTTGGAATGAAAAATTTAATAAAAAAACTCAGTAAGCGTTACATTACTGATAAAACAGTGCCCACAAAAGTTTGACTATATCTGATAAAAATTTTCCTTGGTAAAAAATATTCCTTATTTTTTTCGAGTATTTAAACTTGGGTTAAGTCCTGTGGCCCTACTATTTGTTGCGAAACTAAAATTGGATAAAAAAAATCATTTTATTACATACCTCACATTTAGAGGGTTAAAATATGACAAAATTTGTTAACATAATACAAAATTAAAGAGTTTGAGTATTTTTTAAATCACCGGTTAGTAAACGAGTGTATGTGTGAAGTCAATCAGAAGAAATATACAACACGACTCGTTTATATACTAGTTATGTACGGTGCATACACGGCACGAACCTAATATGACATTATTCGTTAAACACAAATTAATAAACGAATCGAGTATAAGTGAAATATTTTTTAACACAAATCCACTAAAATTCAACATAAACTCGCCTCACCTAACACGACAACAGGCCTACTCACATCCCCTAAGGTGGTCGGATCAAAGTGGTCATGCTATAATAGTTTTGAAGAGTTGTTATGTCATCCCTTGTTGAAGATAGGGTGAGGTGAAATTTAGAATTTGAATATTTTGCGTGTTTTACGGAATGCTTCTCTTCAAGAATCCTAATATTGCCCAATCCACCACTAACGACAAATCTAAAAGACTAGACCTCCTACATGCATTATTCCCCTTTTTCGAACATTTTTTATTCATTTATTCATCCATTTTTAGCATTTTCAATCACTTTTTGATGGTTTAATATGGTCCCCAGCTTAAAGCTTTGCATGTGGAAATAGTTAATCCTTTTTAGGCGAATTGTTTCTGTACTGTGTGTGTTTTTTATAATTCATCGGGCATCGTTACAGATCGTGGTCCCCATATGTGTATATTTTTGTAGCGCTAGAAGTATCACTACAAACTTGGCTTAAAAAAAAAAAGTGACTTTCATACATGTGTCTTAAAAAAAGATTACTATATGAAATAACTTAATCTTGAGTACTCGTCCTGGCGGGACCACTCTCGTGATATTTATAAGATGAAAAGACAATTGATATAAAATCTTATCATACAAATAAAGTGCCACATAATTAATTTATTTATATTAAAAGCAACAAATATTCCCTAATAAATTACTTCTGTTTTTTTTTTTCGACAAGTAAGATTCATTTATATTAAATGAAAGGATATATACCATTTGTATACCGAATTACAAATGTGTCCAAAAGAAAAGAGAGGGGCAAGAGATGGTAACTTTTCTAGAGAGAGAAGTAGAAGATCAACCATCCTTTTTTTTTCTCTAATGAAATAGTTATTCACCAGAAATACGAAACATATCAATCGAAATATACCCAACCAAACAATATATGCTTCAAGTATTTAAATTAATTATTGCATCAAACCCAGCTGAGGAATTCATGTTTTGTAGAACTCTTGAATCAAAAGTCGAAGAATTATGGGTGCTACCTACCCATTGGAATTTTTCCCAAGAGGGATGCATAGGGCTTATCGTGTAAGGTAATGTCTATTGATTACCTACCTTTACCTTATGTATGTTATGCATAAAAACTAGAGATGTCAATAAGTCATCCCTTATTGTTTTTAATACATTTTTCATGTCAAAAATTTATCAACTTACACTCAATTTATTTTTAGTCATGTATATTCGAGCTTGTGTTATGTCGTGTTCATATCTTCTATGGGTTGACCAGTTTGGTTGTCAACTTGGTTAATATGATTTAAACCCTTTAATACTAAATACACTCCTAATTTTGTGTTGCATTAATAAATTATATTAAGAATAACCAATCCTTATAAAAAAAATTCAAAATATTCAACATTGTCAAAACAAAACATAATGCAAGAATTTCAGTCAACCAAGGAAATTTTCAATCTAACTAAACAATGTGAGTGCAATGTGGAAGGGATATGAAGCAAATCTACAACAAAAGGATACCTTTCAATTACTGTGCTTGTAATTTACCTTTTTTTTTTCATGGAAAAGCCCAAACTGGTCAATAATAAAGCTGTATACACGTAAAAGAATTAGACGCGCCGTCACCAGAACAATCTAAAGCTTAGTCCGCTTAGATCGTAGGCACCTCAAAGCTTTCATAGACATGTACGAAGTGATAAAAACCTGGCCCAAAAATGATACCCTAACGACTCAACAGTACCTCGACCAATGGCAGATCGACAACCCACGAGACAAAACCACTCTGGTTTTTCATTACCGGTCAGGGTTTCTTATCAGTCTCCTTGAATGGTTTACAAGTCTCTCCTACATATAGATAATCCTATATTCACCTATCTATACATACATATTCACTCACAGAGAACCATTGCTTTTCAGTCTTGAACAAAAAGCCCCTTACAAGTAAAATCCACAAAACCCAGAACAAACCCTCCTCCACTTTTTTTCAGAAAAGAGCAAATTTAGGGTTTCTTGAGCTTTCCTGTTGTGTTCTTGCTCATTATATATAGGTTTTTTTTTTTAAGAACCAAGAACAAAGAGAGAGAGAGAGAGAAAAAAATGGGAAGAGGTAGGGTTCAGTTGAGGCGGATCGAGAACAAGATTAGCCGACAGGTGACTTTCTCGAAGAGGAGGTCTGGATTGTTGAAGAAGGCTCATGAGATCTCGGTGTTGTGCGATGCAGAAGTGGCTTTGATTGTGTTTTCAACTAAAGGGAAGCTGTTTGAGTACTCGACTGATTCGAGGTGTTGCACCTTGACCCTAATTTTCTTATTTTTTACTCTTCACCACACACTTTCTTTTATTTCCTGGTGATAGATTTTGAATGTTGGTGAATTAATTTTCGTGTTTGTAAGACTATTTTCAGTTTTTTTTTCCAATCTTTATCTGCATGACACAGAAAATCTTATGCAGCTTTAGCTTGTTGACTGTAACTTCTGCTGGTCTTGGTTTTTTTTGGTCTACAAGTAGACATTCTCTCTCTTCCCCTCTGTGTGTGTGTGATCTCTCTCTCCCACCTGCTTCCTGGGAGAGAAACTACCTTATATTTGTATGTTCATTGTATCATTTGATTGACTTTTATTGCTATTTTTGTTACTTGCTAAACTTGGTCAGCATGTTCTCAATCACTGTGTGTGTCTGATCTCTGTCTCTCTCTCCCCTCCTTCTTTTTGGGAGACAAACTATATTACAATGAATAAGCTTGATCTCATGCTGTACTTCTGAACAAAAAAAAATCTCATGCTATACTTCATAATGATCACATGCTATTGATGATTTTAATTAATATATGAAAATTATTTTTTTTCTAGCGATCGAACAATGTTACAGATTGCAAATTACATACTAAATTAGTAAAACAAAATTGGATCAATGAATTCATTAATTTTTTTAATGAGACCCAATCATCAAAAAATCCGTATTTATTTAAGATCTTATTTGGGATCCTAAATTTGGGATTTATTGTTTGATTTTGGGTATTGAACTTGACTAACCCGGTCGGAAAGAGGGATTCTTGGACGTCTGACCAAAGATCCTAGAGCCTTGCGCCTTGGCCGCATGTCTTTGTTCGTACCTTTTTTTTAGCCCCGGAAAATATTCTCGTACTTTGTTTATTGTAATTAATTAACATAGTATGGGTCTATCATTACTCTTGTTTCAGTGATATCTGTTTCGGAAATGGCGCTGCACAGGAAAAAGGGAAGAAAAATGTACAATTTTCATATTGTAAAAAAAAATAAAAAAAATCTTCTTCTAGTATTATGCTTCTACATGTACATTTCTGGTTGTGCATGAAACTTCAAAAGATCTCAGATTGTGCTAATTACGTTTTTTCCACTCTACATTGGAAGGCAATGAATATAATATATTGATTGATGTTGCGGTAAATGAATGACACAAAGAAATAAACGTTCCTAAAGAACAAGAATAACTCTAAATCCACAAAGGAAAGGAAGAGAAAACTCTTAAGGTGTGATATTATTAAATTAATTATTTTTGAACTCATAGTACATATTACAATTTATAAGAAAAAAAAATCCTAAGCTTTCTAAAATAGAAACAAATTCACTGTGATATTATTACCAGAAGAAAAAAAACACACGTGTCTAGTAGAATTTAGAAAATTAACATAATTTAGTTGACAAATAACTCTAGAATATTCCAAATTAAACTCCCATTCTAAATAAATGACAAATATAAAAAAAATAAATATAAAAACAGAATAATTACTAATTTTTGTTTTACATTAGGCCCTCCTCCCTCTTAAAAAAATAATATATCCTTGAGTTACTATTACTCAGAAATAATTCTACAAGTTTGTGTTTATTTGCATCTATCTTATACTTGATATTAATCTTTTCAAGCACTACACAGTTGGGAATAATGTCTTTGTTTGCTTCTACTCCTGGAAATTAAGTATCGTACAAAATGTTATTTAAGATTTCATAGTATTTTTGATTTTGAACTGTTTCCCAACAACCAAATCAATTTGGATCACTTCATTATATTTGTCTTCAACCTTCTCAGCATGTGGGTATACATTGATAAATTTACTTTGCACGCATATCAAATTTTTTGAATTATAATGATAGTGAACAAAATTGATATGAAAACTGTCATCATTTTTTGACGACTTTTATCTTTTAATTTAGTCTTTTTATCCTCACTTTCCTAATCCTTTCAAGTGTTTGAAAAATCTATATTCCTAGAATTCTGATATGAAACGTGATGCATAGAATAATAATTACATAATGAACAAGATTGTGACTCAGTATTACCTCAAATTGATTGTTTTGATCTAAACTCCCTTTGTTGCCTCATATATTGATACACATTATGTTTTTCAAGATCATTGTAATATGTAATACATGGTACTCAATTAGGCATACCGTGAAGATTATGTCTCCAAGGAAAGACATGATTACAATCTTGAATAGGTTGAACACCAGTTCTATCGCCATTACGCACCCTATTTTGATTGGGATCCTAGTTTGGACCCGACATCCTCTAGGCAACCATTGTCTACAGTTCATGCAAATTTTTTGTCATCTTTGTTGAATGTTCAAAAATTTGGCTCTCGAAAAAGTTCTTCTCCCATGATCACTGTCATGGAAAAGGTTGTCACCATTTCGTTGATTATAAATCATATTAGGTTAGTCATGACTTCTATACCAATTGATGCAGCGGTAAACAAAAGACACAAAGAAATCGTCATTTCTAAGTCTAAAGAACAAGAACTCTAAATCCACAAAGAAAAATAAAGGAAAAACTCTCAAAGTATGATACTATTGAATGCATTTTTTTTCGAACTCATTCTACATAAGACAATTTATAGGAAACAAAAAAACCCTAAGATTTGTAAAATGGAAACAAATCTCTAGTACTAATATTGTTAGCAGAAAGAAAAAAACATATGTCTAATAGAAGTAGGAAAATTGACATGATTTAGGCAGCAAATAAATTTAAAATATTCCTAATTAAAGCCTCATTCTAAATAAATAATAAAAATAAAAATAAGAACAGAATAATTGCAAATTCTTGTTCTCTACATCATTGATGTATTCTTGTATAAGGTGACTAGGTAGGCTCATTAATCTAGTTAAGAATATATTGCTAACATCACTCTGTTTAACGTTAGCGTTCTCTATGAAACTTGTGGATAGTTAAATTGCCCAAGTCTTTACACCGTTGCTAAAGTGATGTAGTTCTGCATAATGCTGAGATCCAACCCATACACACACACAAAGGCCACCCAGTAGGTGAAGAAAAATCTTTCAATTTTATTACCTAATGATGCATAAAACATTAAGCCCCAGTTAATCATGCTAATCAATTCTTGATCACATGATGCAAGTGCAGCTAACTAATTGAGGTGGATTCTCTGTATAATTATAACGTTCTTCCAATGATGGATCTGTTAGTGGTTCATTAAGAGATTGATTCCTGTCAAAATTTACTTAGCTAAAAATAAAAAGAAAGACCGATTCCTATTAATGGTTTCCAAAAATCCTCATTGAGCTAAGATAAATATATTGTGTGTTAATACCAATTCATCTTGTCCAGTGCAGCGTTGGCTTTAATTACAATGTCATCATTATCGAATGGTTTTAAAGTTTGTCATGAGTTGAATGTATGTTCTAGCATTGAATCGTATATAGATAGTTGATTTTGACATGTTGAAGAAGCATAATTCTTCATATGAAGTGAGCATTAGGCTCAGCACAATTTGAATCATCAGTTATATCTTCATACCATGGTCATTGACATACTATATGTATGCTACTATATATGCAATTAAGCTTGGACCAAAAGAGTAAATCCGGATAAGAAGAACAAAAAAGTACGACTTATGAAATGAGATTTTATTTTTTTTTTTGAAAAAAATTCTATCAAAACAAAGAAGTACGGCATATTTCTTATGGTCACCACATTTGTTAAGGCTGATAGAATTACGTATTTTGAGAATGTTTCCTTCTCTCTTACTGTTAAGGGGAGTTCAAAGTGGCTCCTTTCTTATAGTCACTACATTTTCTAAAGGCCAACAAAATGACCTATTTGTGAATTTTTCCTTCTCTCTACCTGGTAGGAGTAGTTGTTTTTAATGCTTGTGTATGGTTGCATGCATGTTTTCTTGTGTGTTTGTCCGTGAAGAAGTTTATTCTTTTACTTTGTTGGTCCCTAGGTTTATAAATGTTAGTAAAATTACATCTTTATGAATATTTTCCTTCTTTCTGGTTTTAATGCATTTTACGGGTACTGCCAACTCTTAAAATAGTTACAAGTACTAATTGCCATTCACCCTCTGAACTTTTCTCTTTCTTCCAGCATGGATATGATTCTGGATAGGTATGAGAGATACTCTTATGCAGAGAAGCAACTTTGTACAACTGATTCTGAACCACAGGTATTTTACTTGACCAATCTATTAAATCATACTATAAACAACATGAATGTTCTTCTGTAGAATTTTTTCTATCCTTGTCCTCTTTCCAGTGATTGAATTCGTGTCTTCTCCATAGTAATTTTGTAAGTTACTCACAATCAGAACAGTAATAGTTTTTGTAGTCCTTACTGGTCATTTATAGATATTTTTTTTTATGTAGCTAGCTGTTTTATAAATCCAAAGCCAAAAAATTCAAAATGGTGAGTGATGTGTTCTAGGTTTAGGGTTAACGGTTCAACAGTCAGTTATCAAGAATTTGTGTGTGAACCAATGTCAAAGGTTCTACTAAATAAAATTAAACCTTAAGTCACTCATCTAGTTAGTCATTTACTGAAGAGTTTTGTCCCAAATAGATACATACCACATAATATATGTTTTGTTTAGGAGCTTGTTCACACATTCAGAAATTCAATGTGCAAGGATGGAGGCCAATGATCTTGGTAGGTATCTCATTATTCATTGTGACCTCAACAAACAGAACACATACATATCGTAGATAAAATCAACCAGAGACTTACTAGGTGGAAAGCCAAATTTCTAAGCCATACAGACGGGATCCTCTAACACTGGGCTGCCCTTTGACGTATCATAGATACAACACACTTGCAGGGAGTGTAATGGAAGTCCAGATGTGCCGGCTAACTTTGGTCATAACCAAGCTGATAATTTGAGGCGGCTTGATGAAGCTCCAGTAGAAATTCTCTAAGTGCTCAAGATTTCTTCAACTCACAACCCCCAGATTTAGTCCTAAAAGAGTCAGACCCCAACATGTACCTGAAAGAAAAAAAGCTTTAAGTCTCATTTCTTCTTAAGAAGTAATCAATAAAATTATAACCAATCTGTAATAGGAGGTCAAATACATATTTAATATTGTAAATCTATGAATATATTAATGTTCCATAAGCCAAATACTGAAACAAACTCTCACCTTGTTTGGTTTGCAATTTTCATATACAGTTTTTTGAGACGTAAATCAAGCAGTGCCTCTTGTTCCCCTTGTCTAATATTTGTATATTCTCTTTATTTATATTCTCATTTGCTTTATACATTTTCTATAGGAAAGCTGGTTCGTCGAGTATCCTAAGCTCGTGGCTAAAGTTGAAATCTTAAACAGAAGCATAAGGTAATAATCTTACTTTATGCCTTGCTTAAGAAATGATCAGATGTATATTTCCTCTTTTGGCAACGAATTCGTTCAGCCACATCCATGGCACATGCCATGCTTAATCAAAGCTTTCAAGACCTACCGTATGATGATGATCATGAGCCTGCATATGGAGCAAAACTGCATATTTTCTTTCGTAAAACTTGCTTGCAACAAAATACATATTTTGATAATGTTCAGAAAGTCGATAAAACGATTTCGAAACCTAGAATACATCATTCATTGTATATAATTCTGATGCATTTTGTACAACCTTTTTAAGGCACTATATAGGAGAAGATCTGAATCCCTTGAGCATGAGGGAGCTTCAAAGTTTGGAGCAACAACTTGACACTGCTATCAAGCGAATCCGGACAAGGAAGGTAAATCTAAAACATTGTTTTCTTTCAACTTCTCCTACTATCTTTTTACAGATAAGAGACATTTCTTAGTTCATATTCATTGTATTTACCACCTAATTTGCAGGATCAACTTATGCACGAATCGATTTCTGAGCTTCAGAAAAAGGTGATGTTCCTTTTTTTTTTTTGTGATAAATTAAAAAAAGGTAATGTTGTTGTTGTTTTTGCCCAGATATGCACACATGGACTTGCACTAGATGATATCTTAAACAACTTGCACTAGATGATATCTTAAACAACTTGCATTAGATGAAACGAGTTTTTTTGTATAAAACTTTGAGGTAGAAAATAGACTTTCTGTTTAAATTCTGTTGTTCCTTAAGTTTGTGAATTTTAAGAAATATACAGCCCAAGTACTCGGTAATTATTTCACAAGACCCTGTGCATGAGAATTTAGATCTAGGGGGGGTAATTACACCTGGAAATTATATTAAATGGGGGAGAAGGATATCCTATATGAGGTTTTAATGCATGTGAACTCATGCTGTGTTTTGTGGCAGGAGAAGGTACTGCAACAGCAAAACAATCAACTGACAAAGAAGGTGAAGCTATGTTTTGGAAAAAAAGAGGGAAAAAAAAGGGGGAAAAATTTAAGATATCGTGTGTTATTTTCATTACTGTTTCACAATGAATTAAAGGTCGAAACCATATACTATGCCATTAGGAAAATAAGATGGATGAAATGCTGTTCACATTTTTTTCAAATGTAAACAGCTCAAGGAGAATGAGAAGAACATGGCTGATCGGGCACAATGGGAGCAACAAAGTTTAGGCCAAAACTCAACCACCTTTGTGTTACCTCAACCTGAACCACCACAACTACTGCTTCCTTCTTTATCAATTGGGTATTTTCTCCCTCTCTCTCTCTCTCTCTCTCTCACACACACACACACAAAGATTCACATGCAGCAAGCACCCACTTGACAAATGAACAGATGTCATTGGATGAATTAAAACGAAGTTGAATGTTTTTAAGAAACCTGATGGTAAATTGACTAAAAAATGGGATCAAAAATGGATCAAATGACGTGGCGTTGATATGGTGAACATAATTTAATTTTTTGGGATCAAAAGCACTACTATATTGGCGCCACCTCACTTAAATCCCCATTGTTGTCCCTTTTTTTTTTTTTAAAATCAGTCTAGCATTATCTGTCTAAAAATTATATTTTTTGATAACCTTGTTTACATTGGAGTGGCTACATGAGTTCAAGCAGGCGTGCAGGCTGAGAAGGGAAAATAAATAAAGCCAAGTTTGCCCAGTGGGCATCTTGTAGTTATACCCAAACATGCCTGGATCCTTAGAGTTGCCCTGAACTAACCCTTTAATTTTTATTGTTTCACTTGGTGAATATATGCACCAAACGACACCAGCCTGTTTTGTGCTGTTAGAAAAATGTTAGTCCAGTGTACAAGATTTCCGATGGTTGTTTCCGATATGATTCAACCTTAAATACAGAATGACATCGAGGGCTGACCATGAAATCTCAATGTTTGCAGTCCATTGTGGCCTCAGTAAACATGACCATCTTTAGATTACTCTTTGTGTTGATAGTGGTGGATTTCTCTTGCCTACACGGCCATAACTTGGTTAATTGAACTTATATATCTTTGCTGTTGAACTTTTCAGTGGCACTTTCCAGGGTCAAGAAGCCATAACCGGAGAGAATGGAGGTCGAGCTCGCCCTGGTTCCAACCCACCCATGCCATCTTGGCTTCTTCGCCATGCTAACAAATGAAGATGAAAAACATCTCCAGCTAGAGTTCTGTGTTAAAAGTGAGCAGTGTAAGGTGGTTCAACGCTGCTCCTTTCTTCATAAGTCACTGGTTTGTACTAGAATTCGGCACATTTGATGCGCTAACAAATGTTATATATACATAAAACTTGCTGTTGTGTGTATCTGCAAGCTTATATATATCTATCTTTCTGTATTGAGAAAGAATGTGAAGTCCGTCGCTCAAAGTTTGTCATGAATGAAGTTATGTGTCGCTATGAATGAAATGTCGAGTTCTTGTGAATCCTAATGTATTAATTTTGTTTTAAGTTTGTGTCATATTGGTTTATCGTATTGAAAATTATTACCCTAATGAGGAGTCATCCTGTCAACGTGTGGTAGTAATTTACTTTCACCTTCCCATGTCCTTTCTCGAGTGGCCTTCGTAATTATTGGGTTGAATAAGCTTGTGTTTATTTCTTTCTGAGTAAAATCCTTGGCATGGGTTTTGTTTGGGTATTAAGAAATACAATTAGACTAAATTAGTTCGATGGTCATTTAATACCAAATTTAAAGCATGAATGATATTTATTGTGTTGGAATCAGGTTCGCCGAGAGTCGGATGATTTGCTATACTACCCGTCTTTGCTTGATATTGTCGATTTAGTGCAAGATGAATATGATATGCTTTATGTTGGAATAAAATAATTTTTTTAAATTTTTTCTAATTTAATTATATATATTTTGTTTGACGATAATTCATTGGTTGGGCTGTTACAAAAATCTTTAATTTATGTTTATATGCCATTCAAGAGAGACGATTAAAAGCTTTAAAGATGCTAACAAATGTCTTGGGGGCGGAGCCAAAAAATTGTCTTAGGGTGGGTAAGGTGGCTTCGCCCCGTGAATGTCCATGAGAGTTACACATGAACTGGCGCCTATACAAAAAGGTTGGTGAAAATTATTTTTGGTGTATTATTTTAGCAGTAAAATTATCATCCTTGTTTGTCCTTTACCATGATTAACCATCTTTTTTATTCTAAATTAAAAACCAAGCATCAGTTCTACCAACTTTTGTATGCATCATTACATCTGAACAACGAATTTATACCATTTTGTATTTTTGGACAATTTTAATTCGAGTGATATTCACCCTTGGATACATTCCTATCTTCTGAGAGGGGTGACCATTAAACATCATGTGTTGCGGACTCCGTGTTTGATGTTAAAATCGCTGATGTCAATCAATACTTTCACTCGAGAATATGCGATTACTTTAATTCTTCGTTTCGTATGAAAGGTAGAAAATAGGGAGGATGAAAAATACGAGGAATACATTTTCTTTCTTTTGTATTTAGTTGAATAAATGAAAAATAAAAATAATTAAATTTTTTTTTCTACTGGTTAAGATTAAGTACGACAATCGGATCGTGTCGTGTCGTATCAGATTTGTATTGCAGGTTTGTGTTGAACATTAGTCAAACCTAACTCAGCTTATTTAACTAATTGTATCGTGTCGAGTTGCGAGTTGACCTGTTTATTTTTGTATCGTGTTCATGTTTGTATTCGTGTTGATCTATTTTTAATTAAAAAATAAATCCAGATTTTTAATTAAGATGGAATTCTTTTAAATTTTTATTTTTATTTTAAAATTATATATATATATATATATATATGAAATTAATGTATACGTATTATATGTATATATCAAAAGATATATAGACAAATAAGATACATTTTAACACAAATAATTAACTTTACATCCACTTTCCTTCCGATGGAGATATTGATTTTGGTGAGTTGAAATGAAAGTTAATTCATCCACTTTTTTATCCTTCCTATTTTCCTTCTTTACCAAATATGATGTTTTATTTATTTTTCAAACTTTTCATCTTTCTATTTTTTCACCATACCAAATGAAGCAGAAGACAATATTCACACAACTCTTATGCCCCGTTAGGTAAAAAAAGGTGAAAAATAGAGAGAAAGAAAAATAGGAGAGATACACTTTATATCCTTCAAGGAAGGAAAGTAAGAATGATATACTTTCCTTCTTTTGTGTTTGGTTGGATAAATGAAAAATAAAAATGACTAAATTTTATTTTATTTTTGGTGTTGACTAAAATTATGGGTGATAATTGAGTCGTGTTGTGTCAGATTCGTGTTGAGTCATTACAGATTTGTGTTAGACATTAGTAAAACTTAATTTAACTCATTTAACTAATTATATTTTATCAAATTGCGAATTAACCTGTTTATTTTTGTGTCGTGTTCGTATTTGTATTCGTATTGATCTATTTTTAATTAAAAAATAAATCTGAATTTTTAATTAAAATGGAAAAAATATTTTTTTAATTTAAAATTTTAATTTTTTAATTTTAAACTTATTTTTAATTTCCCCAACAGAAACGGCAGCTTGCCAACGCCAACACCTACTACTCTTATGGTTAGAAGGGCCAACAATGTATCCAAATGGAAGCAGAGATTGCGTATGGATGAATGTCAAACATCTCGGATAAATCCCCTTCAGAGGCAGAGGAGCTTCCATTAGATTAGGTAAATGGGAAAAGCAAGACATTATGAATAAAAAAAAATACCTGTAACAAAGTTATACTGAACAATATTTACTATGTAAAGACACACTTTCATATGTCGTATTCACAATGACTTTACACTCTGCTTCAGGTGTTTTTTTTTTCCTTCCTTTCCTGTTTGCTGTTTGTTGTTTGTTGCTGGTTTCACCAACGACAGGAACATAGTGAATATGATCAAGGCGTCTCATTGAATACCATCTCCTGAAAATGCCAACCAAACAAAACGAGTCCAATCAAGCAAGAAATCATATAGCGAGACAGTTATTTCATGCACAACAAATTAAGCTACAACAATCACACTGCGCCATGTGGTTCTCTGTGACCATGATATCCATGCATATGATGCAACTGTACGCAAGCTCACTGTGTGCATCCATTAGTTGTATGCAAGCTCAGTGTGTGCTGCCACGCAGCCAAATTCACTATAGTTGGTGGGATTTTGTGAAAACTGTAAACTCCTTCCTTTTAGATCGTTAATATAGTTTTTAGACAAGGCTCCAGAACTTATGTTATATGTATGGGAGTTTAAATATTGATAGCTGTTGTTGAGACTTGCTCCCAAAAATAACAAGCTTGAAGCCTTAAGACATGCAGACCTCTATGATAATCCAAACCAGTAGCATGCACAGCATCTGAAGACGCCATATTTCTGGTTCATCTTCTTTTGGACAATTATATTTGTAGAGAGGGTACCTGTACCAGTCCTCAACTCAACTCAACTCAATAAAACTTTGGCTCGATTATTTACGGTTTGTTACATGAATCTTATGCCGCTATTGTACTCTATGAAGGATCATATGTTCCCTCTAACCATGAGTTACCATCTCGGTTTTCACTATCGCATTCAAAGTTAATGTAAATCTACATCTACCTGTATTACTGTTAACAAGTATTACTTCACTCTTACTAGTATAGTGATATATCTTTTGTAACATATCCAGCAACACACACAAACTCCTATTGAACTACAAAATAAAAAATTGTTGAATTTAACGGCCCACCCAAAAACATTTACATATAAACGGGTCAGCTTCGGGAGTTTGGGCTTCACCCAATCCACTTCCCAGCTTGCTAAACGGGATGGTTCATATGTAACCAATATTTCAGACAACAGAATCAGAGCCATTTAAGAACCATGAACATAAAATAAGTGTTGCCTAAATGCAAATTTTAAGGAAGGATGAAGTTCAAGTAAACAAATGTGAAGCAGTATAAGTAACACCAACTAGATATAGAAAGAGAGAAACTAGGTACAATGGTTTAGAGTTATGCTGCAAAGATCAACAAATGCACCATTGAGGAATAGTAAATATGATCTCCATTGAAGATTTGAAGGTAATGCTAATTGAAGGGAGAAAAATACTAACATCACCAAAGATAGCAAGGAAAAACAAATATGTGCTTTAGCTAATATTACAATGTCCAACAGCGCCTAATATGATATCACATGATTAATGTCATGAGTAAAACTGTTGGGACAAAACTAGATCAAATTGAAGTGAGTTGAGGTTGAAAGAAAGATTTAATCCACTCTTATTCAAATTAGATAAAAGTAGTTCTCACACCAACAAAATTCAGAGCAGAAATAACTTCGCATTAAACTAATTTGTGATTCGAAGAAAATAATCCAAAAGTGAAGCTATAGAGAAAAATATCATTTTCACTTAATGTTCTTGCTTTGCATGTAGCATATAAATGAAAAGATAAATTGCAATACAAAACCAAGCATAAAAATGGACTATAATCATCTCAAAATATATGCAGACAAGTTCACACGGCATAATTACATGTTACCTTGCCACAAACCGGACAGCTTTCACTTCTCTCCATCCACTCATAGATGCAACCAAGGTGGAAATGATGAGAGCATTTTGTAACTATCTTGGGGTTTTCAGAAGTGTATTCTGCATATATAAAGCATGAAAAATATCAGAATCAAATTTTAGCAGTTCTAATCCATGCTGTGTCATCTACAGCAGCATTTTTCTATTTAAAGCAACAAGGATTAAAAAAGTGCAGGCTGCATTAGACTTCCATGTTGGTTCAGAAGTTTATGCTCCCTCAGAAGCTCTCTTCATCAGTACTGCTATGACATCAGCACAGTTTTCTTCCCAGTTTTGGTGCCTGACTGAGGTTGGGAATGATGTTGCGTTAAGATACGCAATCTACTGTGATAGCTTCAATGCGCTTTTTTTCCTCTTTCAACTTACAAATAAATACACTAAGATATAGACAAGGGGAGTACTGCAAGGGAGGATGAAAAATCCATCCTAAAGCTTACCACAGCCCATTTCTATTAAGCATGTGTAGCTTCGAATAGTTACCATATAAAGAACAATTTGAAAAGATAAAGAGCTTAGTCACTTAATGTGAAACTGATGATGCAACATACACTGGGAAAACTCTTAAAGAGTATTCATTCATCCAGTGATTTGTGAATCATCAAAAACCTTTGTTTTAATTGAAAAATGAAAATGACTTGTACAAGATGTGGGGAAAAAATTATGTGACACATCAGCCAGAGAGCAGAACTTGTGGGCCACCGTCTAAAGCAGTGGTGAAATGCTCGATTAACAATCACAAGGTTTCACATTCAATATGAGGCCATGACTTGGTGCAAATAATGTCCAAATTTAGTTTTGTACGCAGTCCATCACTCTCAGCATTCTTATCAGCCAGTGAGCAAAAATGGAAACTATTATCTAGCACACGAAGCATCAACCCTAAGGAACAGGAGCATCAAAATATTTGCAAATATCCAAAATTATGTAGCCTTTTGCTTGCATATTGAGCTGTGAAACCATCCTTATACACAATAAAGATAATGAACAGCTTGTATAAAAATCCAAAAACTAATGTCTCACAGACTTTGCAGACATCATATCCTAGATGTTTGAAGTCACAAAAACAGACAGGTTTTAGAAGTACTAGCTGGTCTCAGCACAAGTCAACAAAGGTATTGGTCAACAAACATCCACAATGCTACTCATGACCAAGTGTAGGTGTCTTTAATATCACAAAATAAAAGCCTTGCTATCACATGAATAAAGAGCTTTTTGCTGTGTTTTACCTTCAAGGCATGTTGGGCAGACATCGTCATCTTCTGAAGTATAGATATGTGCAAATCCAGTTGCTGTCTTTGTCGATGAGAGCTTCAGTGTAGACTTGGAATTATATTCTTTAGAACCTTCTTCAAAAGTAGACTCATTCCACTTTTTCCCACTGCTCACATATTCAGATTCTGCATCAATAGCACTTATTCTCAGTGGTTCAGTTTCCTCGTGTGAGTGACTAGAGCCTTTCTCCCTTCTTGAGACTAATCCATCCCGTTGCAAGCGGTAATATCTGGGATCAGCATCATATGGCAAGGGCCTAGGAGGAGAGCGGAACATGTCAGATAGGGAGTTGTCAAGTGATGCCGGCGAGCTCAAAGCTGCTGCTCCTTGAATGGATGCAGGGGTGGAGGGTTGTTCCCCTCTTTGAAACAATGAAGTATACTGCATCAGGAGAAAAAGTTGGAAAGAGGTTGTAATTTTAATAACAGAGTTCTTTGCTCAATTTCCCCATTATTAAGGTTCTAGTTCCTCATTACAACAGTTGAATATTCGATTGTCAAGTAATTTGCTCATCAAAGAAACACATTGTCACAAACAGAGTATTTCATGTGCAAACGTGTAATCAACTAGGAATATAATCAAATCCATGCTTCAAAAGCGCTCATATGTAGGGTTCTACAAGGAAACATGCAGGTCTAATTGGGTTATATAGCTAAACTGATGCCAATCAAATTGAGATTCTGCCCAAAGTTGCAAATCTAGGGTGACAAGCTCATATTAGCTGCAATGAACAAGCTCCCAGGTAAGACAAAGCATACCTTGAAACAGTTATTAAATGAACTCCTAAGAAACATTTTTGGTTTACCCCAAAACAGGATAGCTGTAATGTAAAAACTTTGTGATGAAAGTGAACAGTAAGACAAATCTAGAAGAACAAACAGAAAATACTGAACTACTGGAAAACAAACCTATGCAGCATACCAAATGTAAAATGTTCTGAAGAAAGCAACGAAGACATATACAGTTCCTATAAACAGAACTGTTAAGATTAGCATAATCTTCACATTCCTCATGCAAACAGCAACAAACAGATCCCATGATTCCAACTTCAATCTACTTTAAGAAATTAAAACCCTCCATCGTTTTTCTCCAATCTCATCGACCAAGCTCAAACGCGGTAAGGGGACACTTGAAGAAGCTCCTATCACAGTTCACGAAGATGACACTAGAAGATGAGAGAGGAACTTAAGCTCACAGAAATTACAGTGGCTCCGCGAATCAGGACCCTCCCCCTTGGAGAGGCAAACCACACTGCCCTCTAATATAAGGACAGTAGATGATAGATCAAATAATTTTCATCTGTAAATAAGACAGCATTGCAAAAATGAAAGATGTTATAGTTAGAGAGAATGAAACTGCAGGTAAACCAAAATCAAATCAGCACTAAATATGTATAAATCTGCAAAGTGGTCACCACTAATGTAATCAGAGCTCATCCGTCTTGAACTGAATATAACCCATGTATAAATGTTACCCGCAATCCGACAAAGAAGACATATGACATGAAAAAACAACTACCCAAATCGCAAAATTTCTAAATTTCTTCGGGAACCGAAAATTGTTTGTTTCGTTTTCTTAAAAAAAAAGGGGGGGAGGGGAGATTCTTTTCCCCAACAATATAGTACACTATTACATACGCATCGAAATTCATATCAGTTATTATTATTCTGTTAACAAACAACAAAGAATTCAGCTAACCCATATGAGATTGTCCAAACATGGACTGAATTGCAGGGTAAAACATTTTATAGAAATGATCAACCTAGAGATATCAGTTCGTCAGTCAAGTAAAGAAAACCCATTTCAATAATTCGAATTGAGAGTAATCAAAAACTTCTAAATACTAGTATAACAAGCTACGAAATCAAAAGGAAAGAGAAATATGAGAGAAAATGGAATAATCGGGAGATATAACAAAATTACAAAAGTACCTGAGAGCAAAAGAGTAAATAGATGATCCGATTCCTGAAGATAGACAGATACACGCCTAGAAATCCGAATTGGGATGGAAGAGATAGATTCAGATTCTATAATCGGACGGTGTATTGGATTTTCTGGCGACAAAAGCTATGAGAGAGCCCGGAAATAAAGCGACCTCCTTTGATGTTGGTGGTGGGTGATGGAATAAACTATCATAAATGCCTGGTTAGTTGTAATAAAATAGAATAATGTTTTAAAAATATTAATTTTTTTAATTAAAATTACAATGATAGACCTGATATACTATTAATTATTATATGTCCATCCTTAACCTTTCTAAAAATAACAGATGAACCCAAAACAGAAAATTTTAATTTTATTCTGAGTTAATTATTTTTTTACTTAATCTATATTTTGAAGGTAAATAATTTACAATAAGAAAAGAGAAGGAGAGGATTTTATCCCATCCCCTCTCACTACACCAATACACTTTAGCCTATCAATTGATTGGATTTTAATCGATTCGAATTTGAATTTGTTTAAGTGGATATGAATCAGTTTTTCAATCTATTAATCCAATTTGATTTGAGCTGTCTAAACGGATTAATATATGAATTTATAATAATCCGATTCGTTATTAATCTGATTCAAATAAAAAAAATATATTATGTAAATAAATATTACACATGTATTATATTTATGCTGGAAAACAAGTAAAAATAGAGTGATTATCACAGTGTAAAACTCAATTTTTCCATTTTCATTTTGTTTCTCTCTCTTATTTGGTTTTTTCTCTTGTTTTCACTTCAAATTTTTATTTGTCTTCTTTTTTTTTTAATTTATTATCCAAATTCTTATTATTAATTTTTTGATGTACATTTACTTTTTGTGATAATTGTATCAGACCATATTTTGGGTCGAATTTTCGGATCGAATATATAAAAATAAATAAAAATTGAACATGGATTGAATTTTTCAAATCCGTTGGATAATCAGATCAACAAAAACTTAATCAAATTCGAATTCAGAAATATGACAATCCAGTTCATACTTGATTTGTTTCCAACCTAAGTACACCCCAAAGTCACCCCTTCTCGCACAAACCTGAACACTAAAAACAGAATTTACCATCTAAGATGAAAGTGTATGTATTATCAACATTCACCTCACACCTTTCTCCCCAAAATTACTCAACCTTAAATACCTTATCCATCGTTGTCAAGGTTATGTTTCTTGAAAAACCGGGTACCAGTTACACTCCCCACGCACATAACCTTCCCCCCATTGTTGTCCTTCAAAGTGCACATGCCAAACTCGATATTCTTTTTCCAATCCAAAATAAAGGTGTAATGTTGAAATTTCAACTATTATTTTTTTATTGATATCATTTTTTTTGGATACCTAAAGAGGTCATGCTGTTCCACCTTGAAAATGTTTGGAACTTTTGTGTGAATATCAAACCATCGGGAAATGGTCAAATTGTTTCAATTATAATTATGAGTTATTATTGTGTTAGTAGGAAGGGCACTGGACAAGGGGCAGAGCGACTAGTTTTCACCCCTATACCTATTTTAAAAAGTTAGTCTATTTTGGGTCCATCCTCTTTAGCAGGATAAGTTTTTATACCCCATCTCTGCCGCCGCCTTCACCTCCGTCTTCACCCCCCCCCCCCCATTATAATTAATTTTTGTGATTTTAACAAAAAAAATTAAAAAAATTATCCATAACAATTAAAATGCAACTTGTATCACTGTATGTCTATATCACATTGTGATATAATCAAAGCCAAAAACAAATAAATAAGTTAACAATATAATTCTTGCATACATTGAGCAAAAATAACAATAATAAAGATATATATATATATATATATATATATATATATATAAATATAAAACAATGTAAACTTCAATAAACTCATTTTACAGTTTCAAATAAACTCATAAATCGGTTACTAACATTCTTCTTAAAATCATTCATCTTAAATTTTACATTCCTCTCCTCACTCTTCACTCTCTTTCTCTCTCTAGGATCTTCACTCATCACTTCTCTAAATTAATCAATTAGTTTAAATTGCACCGTGCCTTCAGATACATGTTATCAGTGTGTTTGTTTTAGGTATTAGTAAAGAGAGATTGGAAAAGATAATGTCGGATCCACCTTATCCTTCTTATACCCATATTTGGATACACATTTCTGACCCTGCATTATCACCTAAAAATAATACTGGCTCAGATAAATATTGTATTTAATACTACATACACCCTCTTAAATAAACCCACCTTTTTTGTAGGTGTAAATAGTCCAATTGTGATGTATTTGGTCAAAAGATATGTTTACCCTCAAGTATCTCTATGATATAAATATTACTCTTTATCTTGAGGGTTTTTTAGTAATTTAATGTTTGTACCATTATTCAATACTCCATCCAAACAAAGTATTGAATGAGATAAATATGGGTCAACTATTTCTTAATACTTGAACCAAACATGAGATGAGAAAAGATTATCACTATAATTAATTCAAGGGCCAAATGGATGGGTTAGAGATGGACAACATTATTTAATTTGATCCTTCCTAATACCTAACCCAAACACACCATTAATAAATAAATATGTATATATATATATATATATATATATATATATATATATATATATATATATATATATTAAGTCTAACGGGACGTTGCAGGGATAAATTTTGGTTCACTCTTGCATCCATTTCAGCATGGGTTTATATAGCTATTTTCGTATATATCCATCGTCAAATAAGTATGATTTATTCTCCATCCAAACAGACGCAAATTTGGACGAATCCTCATATTTCTTCGGTCCACTGTCATCCTTGCATGTTAGCTACGTGAAAAGTTTGACCTAATAAAAGAAAAGGACTAAATCAAAAATATCAAGCTTTCCAATGAAAATGGTAATATAAATTTAATTTTTTTTTCTTTTGATGAATTTAAGGATGATAAAGGCATTCCATTTGAGATTTAAATTTGGGTTGCATAGTAATTTTTAAAAAAGAAAAAGGGTTAACAAATAATGACAATAATATGGGGAAGGGGAACCATGGCAAGAGAAGTGATGGTCTCATGGTCATGTACGCATAATAACTACTTTTACCAACGACAAAACCATCAGTTTTATATTTATTGTGCATGAGGATTTACGCACAATAAATAAATAAAAACAGATCTCTCTCTTGGTAAATTCGTGTTTATCTCGAAAGACGACGATCCAGTGATAAAAAGAGGCAAAAGGGGGTCTAAGGAGTGGCGATAAATTACTTTTGGGGCTGTCCGATCGATCCCGCATGTCGTTGAAGCTTCCTAACACTCAAAATAAAGGGTTAGAAGGGCGCCAGAACATTTTTCAGCGTATCATCTCTGACAGTCTAGTCAGTTTGTGAAAGAGGGAATAGAAAAAGCACAATGTCAATAGTGAGAAGTCATTTTGCGTACC